TATTATCTCTTTTAAAATATGAAAAAATAATTATTATTTTAAAACAAATTCTAAATCAAAATACAGTACAATACCTACTCTTGTGAGCAACTTGGAATCATCAATTGCGTTCTGTGAAATCCCAACAACGACTGCCGTGGTATCGTCCATAACATCATCCAATTCTTTCCCTTCAAAACCAACAGAACTTGAACCCATATTTAGTTTATCTATGGTACTAACATCCATATTCTTTTCCTTCACAAACAATCCTCCATTGAGATTCGAGGTCTTAACTTCAATGGCATCTTTATTGTTGAAATTCACACTTTCTTCCAAAGTACATTGAGAACCCAAATTCACATTTTCATTACTGAAATTCATATTAACTTTAGCGTTCTCATTGTTTCCATCATTCTTGATTACATCTTGTTTCACTTTGACATCCATTTCCATGACAACACTAACTATAGTATCCACCTCTTCAAAATTCTCCTCAAAACTCTCAATCTGCAGATCACTCATTTCCTCCATGTCAGTCCCAAAAACTTCAACTAAATTACCAGATTCCTGATCCTTGTAGTTCTTCATGAGACTAGGCAGTATAACAACTTCCTCAATGACCACCTTGTCTTCCTCCTCGTCATTGTTGCTCCTAATGCCAACATGTTGTTTAGCCCTCGTCTTCTTTCGACCCATTATGACGATCAATCAAATCTTGAAACTCATTTTCGTTCTCCTTTTTGAAATGAAGAAGTTGCCAATGACAAACCAATGAATACGACGACGAAGAAGTGGTGATGGATGTGGATGATGAAGGAGATAATTTTAGATTTCCAAGAGGCTTAATCTATATATAACGAAAGCATATCCATTACGATGTTCATCCCTAGTATTAATTAATTATATATAAAAAAATGCATCCATTATGTACATAACAAAGTGTATCCGTTACGAAGAGGAGAGGGGAGACCGTATAAATAGGGAGATGCCACGAAATGCGAAAAGACGCAATTGGGGCTAGATTCATGATGTGAGGCGGTGAGATCTAGATCGGACGGCTGATGTTGGCAGGCGGGAGGCAGGCAAGCATCTAGCAGGATGGCTTTTGGAGGAAAGTAATAGTTAGTGGTGGGTGAGATTGCAATTCCTGTATAAAATGCTTACCCTATTTAATGCATAGGGTAGCATTTTATATATATACATAGATAGATAGATATAAATATAGATATAAATATGAATAGATAGATACATATAAAATTCTATAATTTCAATCAAATGACAAAATTTAATGCCTAATTATTGCTTTGGGAACATTTGATATGAACTCTAATAATTTTGAATGCTTAAAATTGAAACGGAAGAATATGAACTCTTATTTCAATAAATAAGACTTTCATTTTTAATTTCTCTTGTTATGTTAAACCCTTTTCCTCCCTCAAAAAAATTTCTTTTTTATGAAATATGCATTTTAATTAAAATTATATTAAAGATAAGAAAAATACTACCAAGGGACTTCTTCTTCTTTTTGAATAGTTTCTTATAATAAGTGATTTCAAATATATATCTCAAGATCGCTTCAACTTTCTTGGATAATATGATTAAGACAAAAATGAATTATGTAATTATTTTTTTTAACAGCAAAAAATAATATTTATTAATAAATGAAATACAAGGGGTACCCCAAACCCATAAAAATCATAACTTGAAATGTATCATATTACATGAGTGGAGTAACTTTTCGTATAGTGTCAACCCCTGATATATGTGTCAACACTACGTCCGTGTGGAGTTTTGGGCTTTTGCCATATGGTGTCGACACCAAAATTATGTGTCGATACTATACCCGTGTCGAATTTCTGTTCTCCTTTGCAGTTTCTTCATATGAGCCCATCAATCTTAATCACATAACACTTGGCTTTCTCCATTATATGGTCCTTGTCAAATGTCTACTCTCTTTTTTGTGAAGGCTGTAAGAGTGCTCAATCTTGGTTGTTGTATTCAATCAGAGGATGAGATCCCATTTCTTTCACCTTTGAGTTTAAACCACTGGAATGAACGAGCTTGCACCACTGGAATTATGTAATTATTATAACAGGTAACACAATATGTGTTATTATTCTTTTCATGTAATAAACATTTTTTTAACCAACATATGTTTAAATTGTAGAGCATTAGAACTCTAAATTATAGTAAGAATAAAATTTTTCTACAAACAAATTTGTTAATAGGAATCATTAAGTAGCTAAAAAATCAAATGCAATAATTCATAAAATTACCTTATAATCAACAAAACCATTTTAGTACTCAAATAGTCCTTATCATCTTTCAAACCAAAAATATCTCACAATCTACATATCGTACTTTAATCTTCTAATCTTCTTTATCAAATAAAAGTTGATAAAAAAAATACATATATCTCACATCTTTTGCAATTGATGTACTCTTAAATATTTTTAAAATTTTAGAAATAAATTATTTCAAGATAAGATAAAATATGTAACATAATTAGAAAAAAATATAAATTGATGGTTAGAATCAAATACCTATTCATATTGAGAAAACGTAATTAAAGCACTTATATCCTGCAACCAACTTTTTGATAAAAAATTTTTCAAACTAAACATTTAAATGTTGTTATTAAGAATTGAAAGAAAAAACTTTGAACTCACTTCTGATCAAAGGATTGTACGTAAGGAGGATATGGGGAAAGAATGAGTTTTAATATGTGGCATTTGACTCTTCATTTTCTTTAACTCTTCATTTTCCTTAACTCTTCAATTTTTGAATATTTAGACATTGAGTCTTCATTTTCTTCATTTAAGAGTTTTTAAATATTTAAACTTTTGGTTTTTTCCTATTGAACTAACTTTGTTTGTTCATCTACCACATTCATTCATCCATTATTTTTATAATTTACAATTTTTATACATTTGCCTCTTCATCAACCACTTTCATTATCATTTACAATTTTCATTTTTTAAATTTCATGCATTTTTTTTGAATTAGTTAAATGCATACCCTATTAAATGCATATGGTAGCATTTTACATAAGATATAGATAGATAGATTTAGACCTTTAGTCTTAGATGTTAAGCAAACTTTGCCTCTTCATCTACCACTTTCATTATCATTTACAATTTTCATTTTTTAAATTTCACGCACTTTTTTTTTTTGAATTAGTTAAATGCGTATCTTATTAAATGCATAGGGTAGTATTTTTGGATAAAAAATTTTTCAAATAAAACATTTAAATGTTGTTATTAAGAATTGAAAACAAATCTAAAGTCACTTATGATAAGAAGAATGTATGTAAGGAGGATATGGGAAAAAATGAGTTCAAATATGTGGCACTTAACTCTTCATTTTCTTTAACTCTTCAATTTTTGAATATTTAGACATTATCTCTTCATTTTCTTCATTCAAGAGTTTTTAAATACTTAGACTTCTAGTTTTTTACTGTTGAACTAATTCTGTCTCTTCATCTACCACATTCATTCATCAATTATTTTTATCATTTACAATTTTTATTCATTTGCCTCTTCATTCATCTACTACTTTCATTATCATTTACAATTTTCATTTTTAAATTTCATGCTTTTTTTTAATTAGTTAAATGCATACCTTATTAAATGCACAGGGTAGCATTTTATATAATATATAAAATATAGATAGATAAATTTAGACCTTTAGTCTTTGATGTTAACAAACTTTACCTCTTCATCTACCACTTTCATTATCATTTACAATTTTCATTTTTTAAATTTCATGCACTTTTTTTTTTTAAATTAGTTAAATGCATATCCTATTAAATGCATAGGGTAGCATTTTATATAATATATAGACAGATAGATAAATTTAGACCTTTAGTCTTTGATGTTAAGCAAAACTTTGCCTCTTCATCTACCACTTTTATTATCATTTACAATTTTCATTTTTAAAATTTCATGCACTTTTTTTTTTGAATTAATTAAATGCATAGGGTAGCATTTTATATAATATAAAAAGATAGATAGATTTAGACATTTAGTCTTTCATATTAAGCTAACTTTGTCTCTTCATCTACCACATTCATTTATCAATTACTTTTATCATTTACAATTTTCATTAATTTGCCTCTTCACCTACCACTTTCATTATCATTTACAATTTTCATTTATTAAATTTCATGCATTTTTTTTTTGAATTAGTTAAATATATACCCTATTAAATGCAAAGGGTAGCATTTTATATAATATATAGACATAATATTTAGACATGGACTCTTCATTTTCTTTATTTAAGAGTTTTTAGATACTTAGACCTTTGGTCTTTCATGTTAAACGAACTTTGCCTCTTCATCCACCACATTCATTCATCAATTATTTTTATTACTTACAATTTTCATTTATTTGCCTCTTCATTTACCACTTTTATTATCATTTACAATTTTCATTTTTTGAATTTCATGCACTTTTTTTTTTTTTTGAATTAGTTAAATGCATAGGGTAGCATTTTTATAATACATAGATATAGATTTAGACCTCTAGTCTTTCATGTTAAGCTGACTTTGCCTTTCATCTACCACATTCATTCATCAATTATTTTTATCATTTACAATTTTCATTCATTTGCCTCTTCATCTACCACTTTCATTATCATTTATATTTTCATTTTTGAAATTTCAAGCACTTTCTTTTCTCTTTTTTTGAATTAGTTAAATGCATACCCTATTAAATGCATA